CAGTATTTCTCTGTTTAGTTTTTATTTTTGTTTTGTTTGTTTTGTTTTTTTGAGATAGGATTTCTCTGTGACTTTGGAGGCTGTCCTGGAACTAGCTCTTATAGACCAGGATGGTCTCAAACTCACAGATCCACCTTCCTCTGCCTCCCGAGGGCTGGAATTAAAGGCATGTGCCACCATCGACAGGTCTCTGTTTAGTTTTTGTCTAGATTACCTGTCCCTTGTTGAGAGTATGGTATTAAGTCTCCCACTATCTGTATGTATGAGGTCAATATGTGATTTAAATTATAGGAGTGTTTGGGGGGGTTGTTTGTTTACTTTTTATTTTCTTACAAAATTTGGTGACATTGTGTTTGGAAGGTAGATGTTAAGAACTGAAATGTCATCTTGGTAGATATTTTCCTTTGATGAGTATGTAGTGTACTTCCCTATCTCTTTTGATCAGTTTTAGTTTGGTCTATTTTATTGGATATTAAAATAGCTACTCTGCCATATTTCTCAGCTCTATTTTCTTGGAATATCTTTTTCCAACCCTTTTCCCTGGGGTAATATCTAGGTTGAGGTACATTTCTTGGGTGTGACAAAATGGTAGATCCTGTATTTTAATCCAGTTTGTTAGTCTGTGGCTTTTTATTGGGGACATGAAACCACTGATCTTGACAAACATTGATGACCAGTGACTGTTGATTCCTGTTATTTTGTTATTGTTGTTGTTGGTTGTGGTGGTGGTGGTGGTGGTGGTGTGTGTGTGTGTGTGTGTGTGTGTGTGTGTGTGTGTGTGTGTCTTTTTTTATTTTGCTGGTGTGAAATTATTTATTTCCTGGATTTTCATGTGTATAATTGAATTCTTTTTGCTCTAGTTTTCTTTTTAGCACCTTCTGTGGAGTCAGATTTGTAGACAGATATTGTTTATTTGACTTTATCATGGGATATCTTATTTCTCCATGTATGGTGTTTGAAAGTTTTGCTGGCTATGTGGTTTGGGCTGGCATTTGTGTTCTCTTAGAGACTGTAAGTCATCTGTCCAGACCTTTCTAGTTTTTAGGCTCTCCAGTGAGAGGTCACGTGTAGTTCTGATAGGTCTGCTCTAATGTGTTCCTTGGTTTTTCTCCTTGATGCAAATATTCTTTCTTCATTCTCTGTGTTTAATATTTTGATTAGTATGTGCTGAGAGTCCTTTCTTTTCTAATCCAATATATTTGATGTTCTGCAAGCTTCTTGTACCTATATAGGTATGTCCTTCTTTAGGATAGAAAAATTTTCTTCTATCATTTTGTTGAAAAATATTTTCTGGGCCTTTGATCTCAGAGTCTCCTTAATCTATTCCTAATCTTAGTTTTGGTCTTTTCGTGTATCCCAAAACTCCTGGATGCTTTGTGTTAGAAGTTACTTAGATTTAATGTTTTCTTAGACTATTTTTTTCTATCATATCTTTAATACCTGAGATTGTCTCTTCCATCTCTTGCATTCTGTTGAAGTTTTCCTGTACTTCCTGTTTGAATTCCTAAATTTTTCACTTCCAGAATTCTCTCTGTTTGTGCTTTCTTTATTGATTCTATTTCTCTGGTCTTGACAGTTTTATTCATTTTCTCATACTGCTTGTTTGTGTTTTCCTGGATTTCTTTAAGGATTTATTTACTTCCTCTTTAAGGATTTCTATCATCTTCATATAGTTGGTTTAAAAACTTTTTCTTCAAAGTGGCTGTATAAGTTTGCACTCCCACCAGTAGTGGAGAAGTGTTCCCTTTGCTCCACATCCACTCCAGCATGAACTGTCATTGGTGTTTTAGCCATTCTGACAGGAATAAGATAGTATCTCAGAGTTGTTTTGATTTGCATTTCCTTCCTTGGTGGTTAAGGATGTTGAGCACTTTCTTAAGTGTCAATCAGCCATTTTAGGTGGGGGGGGGGCAGAGTGGAAGGGGGAGGGAGTTGGAGTTGACATGTGAAGCAAGCTTGTTTCTAATTTAAATAAAAAATAATTTAAAAAAACAACTTTTACTATGTTGGAATATTCAAGGACTGCTGGGGTGGGATAGCTCTAGTATATACATATTTCCCTGACTGTTACTGAGAGTTTTTACACTGGAGTTTAGGCTTCTATGTTTGGGATAAATCTAGGTGGTGATTTCTGGATTTGTCTTTTTGGATTGGTGTTTTGTTCCTTGATTTCTGTTTCCTCCATGGAATTTTTACATAGTATAATGATTTGGGGTTGCTGTTTTCCTGGCCAACTCAGCTGGTATGTTCACAGGGAATACCTGCTGGGGTTAGAGGTTGGGATACTGGAATGAGTTGGAGGAAGGAAGGTTGGAGAAGGTCTTTGTGATTCTTTCAGGGATTGGATTGTTAAAACAGAGAATTATGAGGAGAAAGACCAGTTACACAATTATCCAATTAAAGCAGACTTTATTTAATACTGGCTTGGAACATGGACACTGACCAGGTCCATATCCCAGGATTCCCAGAGAATGACCATGAACTAAGTTTGTCAGGTGCATATAAAGGCAATCCCTCAAGGTTAAATACTTTTCACCTTTGTCCATCAAGGGACAAGTTTACATCCTGACATACTTCCTGCCCACATATTTCCCACCTATATGTGAGCAAGCACATCTGGTACAGTTAGGCCAACCAAACTTGTTTAGGAAAGTGGAAACATGTGGCTTGTTTTATGAACAACAGCCCCAGCACCTCAGGAAGTATGTGCCCTTAGACAAGTGGGACTTACAGGCTATCTTTAGCCCTTTTGGGTCAGTGAGGAAAGGAAAATTCAGCAGATTTCTTACTACAGAGCTGGGGGTAGCTGGGCTATTGGATCTGGGGGGAAAATAGAGAGAGTAGGTCTATAGATAGCCTACATGGTTTTCTGCAGGTGTGGCCTGTGGGTTAACTTGGGGTGTCTGCTGAAGTTGGGAGCTGTTTCCTTGTTCTGCTATACTGGTGTGTTCCCAATTTATTCCTGTTGGTGTTGGAGGGTGGGATCCTGGATTCACTCTTAATCATGGATATTGTATAAACTAGGTCTTTGGTCCTTCAGTATTATTAAATCTCCCTTCTTAATGTTATACAAGAAACTAAACTGAATAATGGCCAATCTGTCTGATATCTAACTTGACCATAATTCTATGTTTTTATCCTAGCTCAGTTTTATAATCTAATAATTTTAACTTTGTGCTTATTAAGCTTCCTTAACATCTTTCTTAGAATAATTAATTATAAAAACATATAAATGTAATTAATTTGAAGGACCCATCATTAATTGACTTTTATTTTTATTATTTATTTGGTTTTTAGAGACAGGGTTTCTCTGTGTTGTTTAGGAGCCTGTCTTGGAACTCACTTGGTAGACCAGACTGGTCTCGAACTCACAGATCTGCCTGCCTCTGACTCCCAAGTGCTGGAATTAAAGGAGCGCGCCCCCACTGCCAGGTAACTTTTTATAAAGGCTTTAGTGCTGTGTTTAACCCATATGAAACCAATCTTCATGCATCCCTGCTCTGTCTATTGAGTTTCAAGAGTGGATTTTATCCTACTGATCTGGGATAAAATGATGAGGTAGAAACTAAGGGACATAAACCCAGAGAAATCAAGAACAGTTGCTGATTCATACCTAAGATTTTGGACACAAAAAGGTGTTAGTGGTCTCAGTTAGTCTGGGAGATAAATGTGACAAGGTAAGAAAATGAGAACCTTGGCTTGAAGAACCTGAGAAATTGTGGGACCTCCCTGGGAGGAGAGCAGAGTTGAGACAGGAGTGGAAAGAATCTAGGGTAGAAAGCATGCATTGAAAGAGGAAAACGCACATGTGTTCAGAGTAAGAGTGAAATTCTTTATCATGGGCATTAAAAAACGAGGACCTTGAAATTTTCATTTATCTTCTAACAAGAGAGTTAACAGAAAGAGTAGAGCAAGAAAAGAGAATAGAGAGTGTTTGTTATGCTTATTTCCCATTTAAGAAGGATGGAGAAGGTAAACAGGATTAAAGAAAGTTTTGCTTTTCTTTTGTTTTCCTTTCCATAACTACAATGAAACTACTAACTATAAGAGGTTTGGAGAGAAAAATGATATTCTGACAATTTTGTTGGAAGGAAAGGACAGAAGTGAGCAAAGAAGGCCCAGGGGTTGATGAATTTTGAAGAAGAAAATATCATTTTTGCTACAAAAGACAAGGCCTGCAGTCATGGAACTACAAAGGCTAAGATAGAGGGAATGTTCGTGTCCAGGAGTTTGAGACCAGCCCTGGCCTATACAGCTTACAGAGAGTTCTCAAACACGCCAGGATAGGAACATTCTCCTGTTGATAGAAGTGGGTATGAAGGAATGTACATCTTTCAACTTTTTTCATAAAAGAGGGGGAATTTTAACAATCTGTGTTCCCAGGGAAGGACCAGGGACTTCTGATATGAACAACTACCTTGAAGCAAAAAGAGTTGATAAAAGAGAAAAAAAAATAGTGACAAATGAGAAGACCAACTTTTCAGTTCCAGAAACTTCTATGAACATTTCTCATGTGGGACCCTGTGCTGGGCTCAAGATTTGGTGATCTATAGACCCTTTCCTTGGGAAATTCACATTTAATGGAAAACACCCAATATGGTCAGCTGAAAGAAAAAAACAGCATAATCACATTATGATTTTCAGCACTGTTTGTGGTACTTAGCACAGGGTGTGGAGAAAATGTTGCATTGGAGGCTGTCATGATTTGAGTCTGTGAAATGACCACATGGACTTATTCAGGTCAGCTTTTACCTCTATGAGCAGGGTGCCAATTGAGAAAAGAGGAAATATAGAATAGCAGCAGCACTGTGTTCACATGGAGCATGGAAATGGGGTGGAGAGGTACTTCTTCACTGGAGATCTCAAGTTAGAGACCTGTGAAAGGATAAGAGACCAGAGGTCGGTCCCTGTGAGTGGCCACTGAGTTCCACTGAGGGAAAGGATTAAATAAGATGAGCTGTGATGCAATAAGGGCTTGTCTGTGTCACAATATGATCAAAGCAAGCAGGCAGGGTGCAGGTCAGTGGTGGGAGTGAACTACTCAGGAACCTAAGGCCAAAGCATGTAAGATCTTGATCACCCACAGATATCACTATCCAGCAATCCTGATTCCAAAGCATCTCCACAGAACGGTCTTACTTGCTGGAGTGCTTTGCTGTTTCTGTGCTACTTTGCAATGAAGATTCATTACATTTTCTTAACATTTCTCCTCTTTGGCCTGCTGTCCAACTTAGGTAAGACCTTAGTGACAGACAAGAGTGAAAGGTGACGGGGAATGTTCTTCTGTATATATGTTTCTCTTCCTGGTTGATGAATAAAACGCTGTTTGGCCAATAGAGTCAGGAACATAGGCGGTACTAGAAGACGAGGAGAATTCTGGGAAAGGTAGGCAGAGAGAGACCGTGAAGAGACACCATGTAGCAGACAAAGGAGTAAGAGGTCCGGACCCTTCTCTGGTAAGATAAGATCATGCAGAAATACTTAGATTAATAGAAATGGGTTAATAATTAAGAAAGAGCTAGCCAATAAGAAGCCCTAGCCATCAGCCAATAGTTTAATAATTAATATAGCATCTGTGTGTTTATTTGGGGCTGAAGCAGCAGCAGGACCTGGTGGGACAAGAAACCTCCAGCTATAGAAAGCAAGTGAGAACGAGGTATGAAGTAACACACTCATCACTAACATTGTTTCTCAGTTACACACTCAGTGTGCATTTTGGTTGGATGACTTTACTGAATGGATGTGTTCATTTCCTTACAAGTAGTTGCTTGAAAGTAGAATAGAATGTGAGGAATTGTCAGAGTTTCTAACTTATTTAAAAGTTCTCGTCTCAGCTCTAGGGGGAGATTCTTATATTACAAGGATGGGAACTAAGAGTTTGTTACCCACACCTTCATTTTAGTTCCCTTATCTTTCTTTTGGTGCCACTTTTTTAAAAGATTTCAATTTTTAAAAATCATATGTGTATGTTGGGAGGGAGAAAAACAAACATGGCATGGATGCCCAAAGAGACCAGCAAAGAGCACTGAGTCTCCAGAGCAGAAGTCACATGGCCTTTGTGAACCACCAGATGCGGGTGCTGGAAATTAAACTCAGGTCCACTTCAAAGTCAGTATAGGCTTTTAACTTCTGAGCCATCTCCAGGTTCATGGTGTTTGTTTTTTTCAGTTCAAATACTCCGTAAGTTCTTTCTATTCAGAATATCTTCAATCAGGAAGAATATGGTTTATAAATATTAGTGTGTGTGTGTGTGTGTTTGTGTGTGTGTGTGTGTGTGTGTAGGTATAGGTGCATATGTTACAATGCTAAAAGAAATAGATACTATGAGTTTAAGAAGTATGAGGGGGCAGAAGGAGTTAGAATAATGAGAGAGGGAGGGTAAATGATATAAACACAATATTCATGTGTGAAATTATTGAAAATAAAATATACCCCCAAAAATGAAAAGGAAAATTATTTGAAAAAAAGCTATGAACTTATTATGTCTTAAAATCTTGGTCCCCAAGAAATAATAAGGGCCTCATAAGGTTAAGAACAGAAAGGAAGAAATGGGGGAAAGAGAATATCAGAAAGCTTTAAAAAGTGGAGGTCTGCGAGAGGAGGGAAGTGTCAGTGATAGTCCTGAGTAAACAGGCTGACTAACTTAGGAGATGAAGCCAGTAGAGTGACTTCAGAATTGACAACCTTGAAGTGAGGAAGAGATGCCTAAGAATAAATAACCTAGCACAAACATGACGAAGTTGAGGCAAACATATGGTGCACACACAGGCAAATACACGTAAATTAAGATAACTGAACTTTGAATAGTGATTATGTTACATTCCCAAACGTTACATTCCCAAATGGAGTTTGATGACAGTAAAGAGAAGCCCTTATTTTGGATTTCATAGATGAGGCAGTAAAGGTTACTTTCCGAGAAAGATGAACTAGTGTCTCTTACCTGCCTGGAAGGATGCTACTTCCAGCATGGTAAATGATCAGCTCTGAACTTCCTGGATTGATCATTCAGGATTACCTAGTAACTCTGGGCTGATTCAGTACACAACAAGGCCAGTCACGTTGCTTTAACAACTCTGTTGTCACTGTGAGATACTTTTTAAAAACATTTTTATTATATATTTAAATTAGAAACAAGCTTGCTTCCCATGTCAGTCCCAGCTCTCTCTCCCTCCCCTCCATGCCTGCTCCCACCCATGAGCCCCCCCCAGCCCCCACCCAATCCCCACTCCATTCCCCAGGGAGGGTAAGGCCCTCCATGGGGGTTACTTTTTAACAGCATTTTCCCAAAAGTCTTATTTTGAAATCATTGCTGGAACTTGGTGAAAAAAATTGTAAGCAAATACCTTCCAAGATTTTTGTTGTTATTGTTTATGTTTACTTTTTAGGAAGTGAAGATGTTCATGAAGTAATTAGTATCCTGGACTGTAAGAATCAAATGTTGTGTAATTCGGAAAATACGGATGGACACTGCTCTGATGTTCAGAATGTGGGGCTGTGTATCTTACACCTTAATCAAACTCATCAGCTAGAGACCCTAGAGCCAGGAATTCAAGATGATCAACTCCTTTGATGCATTAAATTAGAAAGCCTGGTTTTCTGTCCTTCATTTTCTAAGTGATACATGCAAGTGTTTATTGCTAGACAAAGGTTTATCAAAGAACATTTTATGTTAATGAGAAACTACAAGAGCTACCATATTTTCCTTAATTCCAACAGGTCAAGAAATACTTGAGAGACCAAAAGACTTGCCTTGCTTGTGGTGTTTGGGAGGCTTGGGACAAGGGAACGGAAGAGGGAAGATTAGAGAAGAAAACTACAGGCTGCTGTGTGCATGAACTACAGACCAGGGCAATGGGAATAGTCATTATTTTCACCAAATATGGAAGCTCCTCTCCAAGGTTTTCAGATTTGGATGACAATTAACTCCGTTTTCTCATAGGTTTCATTGTTATAACACTTGTGGGTTACAGAAGAGTAATTACATCACACCCTGACATTCCTTCCTCTAGCTTTACAAGCCATACAAAGAAGAAGAGGTCTACAGAAGGAAAGGCATACCTGGCATTGCTCCAGTACCTATGCGAGATACCCTTGCTACCTCCCAGTTCCCTTCTGAAACCCCCATCAGATTTTTTCTCAACACTGCATAGCTGAACAATCTTTAACTTGCTGAAAAAGAGAGTCTACCCATCAGAAATGCCTGATGTTCACATAGGAACTAGGGAAGTAAATTTTTTATTGACATGAACAATTTCTGGCAAATATAGACAGACTAGTCAGGACTCTGACCTGGAACTAATGAGACTTTTGGAAAGGCTCACAATAATGTGCAGTGCTGAGTTGGAGAACTGGGCAGCCCAAGGGACTGCAAGAAAGAGGAGGAGGGCTTTGACAGCTATTCACCTGGACCAGAGGACCAGGTAATTTCCAGAGAGGGAAAGGAAATTTCTGAAACCCATTAGAGATATACAAGGACTAGAGGCACACTGTGTGACAAGGTAAAACCATGGTGAACCTTGTTTATCGTGCAGCTGGGGATAAATCCAGGGCCCTATGTATACAAAGAGAATATACCACCAATTTATGTCCACAACTCTCCTGTTTTTTACTAATATGACTTGGGGGAGCTCACCTTATCTGTGAAAATACATACCACTCATGATGCACCTAACAAAAAAGGCATATTTAAGAATTCAAGGTGAAGCCGGGTGTTGGTGGAGCATGCCTTTAATCCCAGCACTCCGGAGGCAGAGGCAGGTGGATCTCTGTGAGTTCAAGTCCAGCCTGGTCTACAGAGTGAGTTCCAGGACAACCTCCAAAAGCAATACAGAGAAACCCTGTCTTGAAAATCTAAAAAAAATTTCAAAGCAACAACTGCAGGCCCAACTTTGGGGGTCCAGCTGGCCCTATCTCTGATCCTCCTGAAGCATCCTCCACAAGATCCCTTGTGGTAATGCTGAAGTTCCCAGCATAGCCTCTAACAAATAGCAATTTCCACTGCTAACCCGAGTATTCTCTACCCCAGCCAGGTAGCTTGTTGCTTTCCTTCTTGCCCAAAATTGAGCCTTAGGGAGTCAGGTGAACTTGTTCAGAAAGTCAGGAAACTTTGGAATAAATAGTCCTGAGTCTTTTTTCAGCCCCCTTCAGGGGCCTCCCTCTAGTGTTGGACCAAGCCCTGAAAGATAAAGGTAAATTGGGTTGGTGCCATTCAGTTCCCCGGTGATGCAGAGGAGCCCAAATTGACCAGCCTCCAGTTCTTACATAATCCTGTGGATTATGGAAATTGTAGCCCTAGATGCTTCCCTGATATACTGCACATTTTCAAAAAGCTGCACTGCAAATAAGAAAGATAATGTTCAAGCATCTGGCTGCTGTAATTAGGGCATCTCTGGTTTCTGTCTCTTACCTGTGGCCCTTCCTCCAAATGTCCAGGTCTGGCTACGTTAGTTTGCTAATGAGTCTTCTAGTCTCCAGCTTGCTTTAAAATTTATTCTTCATTTTCCCACTATTGATCTCAGAGATAGCAGGAGGTAATGTTCCCTGAAGGTTCTGGAAAAAGTTGATTTTCTATATTCATTAAATGGAATATATGCAAGGCCAGTTTATTCAAAGTGAGAATGAGAGAGAAGACAGGTACATGTAGAAAAAGGAAAAAGAGCTGGAGTCTGTGTGTCTTCTCGGAGGGTGACTGTGGGCTTTGCCAGAATTGAGAACTTAGTCATAACGGGGCATGCTTTTCCCCTGTTCCTTCCCAATTGTTTCACTCAAAAAAAACTGCAAAAGCTGATTGGTACACATCCTGTGTTTGGTTACAAAAAAAAAGGATGCAAGAAGAAAAGTTTAAGAAGGTCTGATCTGAGTTAGATAGCAGGTACTCTTCGCATCACTTAATAAAAGGAGTAAGGCAAACTGTATTGCAAGGGAGGAGGATATTACTGGAATTCAAAGCCCAGTTGTCCATCACTAGAGCCCAGGTCTTTACTTGCTCTCCAAAGAGAACAGTAGCAGCTATTTACCTTGAAGGTATAAGCCTTAAATGAAATATCTACTAGACCAAGGGCATGGCAGGAAAGCCAGGAACTTTGAGTAAAATTCAGGAGTTCCTTAGCTTCTACCTAAGTAAACATGGTGCCCTTTTGCAAGAAATTATAATCAACTGGAAAGAGCAACAGGGTCTTCAAGACATATACAAGTTGTGAGTCAAATTTAAAACAGGACATGTAAAAAAAAAAGACATCACCCTATCTTGTTAAAATCGTAGATTAAAGGATACTTTGGCCTTCTGTTATGAAAACAATCATTAATAATATGTGTAAAAGACCGATGCCCATTGTAATGAGCCCTTAATAAACTTACACTAAGATTTGACAATGACACCCAAAGGCTTTGAATATTTTTTGTATTTTTTTTATTTTTTATTTTCCAGTTTAAATTTAGATAAGAAACAAGGTTGCTTCACAAGTCAGTTCCAGGTCCCTCTCCCTTTCCCTCCCCTCCTCCTGTGCCCTCCCCGCAACACCCCCCCCCTCCCCCGTTATCCCCTCATTCATTGAACTTAATAGAAATACATTCACAAGGGCCGGGCGGTGGTAGCGCATGCCTTTAATCCCAGAACTCGGGAGGCAGAGGCAGGCAGATCTCTGTGAGTTCGAGACCGGGCTGGACCGACAGCCTCCAACACAATACAGAGAAACCCTGTCTCGAAAAAACCAAAAAGGAAAAAAAGAAAAGAAATACAAATGTGAGCTTTATTTTGGGGTAGTCTGTTTAGGAAAGTCCTTGAGCTCCTGTTTTTAGTGCTTGTTCCACAGGCTGTGATGATACTTGGGGAACTGTCCAACCCTTAGGTCAGGGCTTGATAAAGGAAGTACATCAGCAGTAGTAGCTCGGCCTTATAACAGAGTCCTGTGTCACCCTTGCTCCTTAGAGCTCTGCATTATCACCCACTTTGATTGAACAGACACAATCATATGCTACTGTTGCCACAAAAATAATAAAAACTAATTAAAAAAATACTCTGTCTAAGTGAGATCAACAATTAATAAATGGGACCTCCTGAAACTGCGAAGCTTCTGTAAGGCAAAGGATACAGTCAGCAAGACAAAAAGGCAGCCCACAGAATGGGAAAAAATATTCACTAATCCCACATCTGACAGAGGGTTGATCTCCAAAATTTACAAAGAACTCAAGAAGCAAGTCTCCAAAACACCAAAGGATCCAATTAAAAAGTGGGCTGCAGAACTAGAGAATTTTCAATAGAGGAGTCAAAAATGGCTGAGAGGCACTTGAGAAAGTGCTCAACATCCTTAGCCATCCAGGAAATGCAAATCAAAACAACTCTGAGATACCATCTCACTCCTGACAGAATGGCTAAAATCAAAAACACCAACTACAATTTATGCTGGAGAGGATGTGGTAAAAAGGGGAACACTCCTTCATTGCTGGGGGGGAGTGCCAACTGGTTCAGCCACTTTGGAAATCAGTATGGAGATTCCTCAGAAAAATGGGAATAAACCTACCACAAGACCCAGCAACTCCACTCTTAGGCATATATCCAAAAGATGCTCATTCATACAACAAGGATGTCTGTTCCACTATGTTCATAGCAGCATTATTTGTAATAGCCAAAACTTGGAAGCAACCTAGATGCCCCTCAACCGAAGAGTGGATAGAGAAAATGTGGTACATTTACACAATGGAGTACTATTCAGCAGCAAAAACCAATGGAATCCTGAGATTTGCTGGCAAATGGATGACACTAGAAGAAACCATCCTGAGTGAGGTAACCCAGTCACAAAAAGAGAAACATGGCATGTACTCTCTCATATATGGATTTCAGACATAGATCTGGGGAGTGCCAGCCTACAATCCCATGGCCAGAGAATCTGGGAAACAGAAACTTCATTCAGTGGCTGATGGAAGAAGAGGCAGACTCCCAAGGTTAAGTACTGAGCTGAACTCAAGAAAGCCAGTAACAGAGAGGAAGGACTGATGACCAAAGGGATTAAGACTGGGCTGGTTTAACCCCCAGAAACAGCTGACCAGACAAAGGTTAACTCTTGAATCCCAAGCATCAGCCTGGGAATCCAGCATGGGACTGATCAAAACCCCCTGAATGTGGGTGTCAGTGAGGAGGCCTAGGTAATCTATTGAGCCTTGGGCAGTAGATCAGTACTCATCCCGAGTATACACACAGACTTTGGACTCCCATCCAACAATGTGAGATGCACTCTCACCCTGAACTCTTGGGGGAGGGTCTAGGCCCTGCTTTCTATGAAATGACAGACTATGGACACCCCCATGGAGGGCCTCACCCTCCCTGGGGAAATAAGGGGGTAACGGGGGATTTGGGGGGAGGTTACAGGAGGAGGGGAGGGAAAGGGAGAGGGACCTGGAACTGACTTGTGAAGCATCCTTGTTTGTAATCTAAATTTAAACTGAAAAATAAATAAAAAATAAATAAAAGATAATATATAATTAAAAAATACTCTGTCTAAACCAACAAAGCAGACAGCCTTGGGACATCTTCACTACTGCCAAGGAAGTGGATATTCCAACATTTGCCCTTGGAACCAGGCTCTGAAAACAAATGATATTTTACTTTTAAATTCA